AAACATAACAGTGCAATATAAAACCATGAACAGTGCAACTTACGAAACAAACAGTGCAATACAACACCTCCCCGTTTTGCTAAATAAAGTTAAAAGAAAGGCGTCGGACTTATTCTGATTCAGAATATGGATTTACCCACCACTTACAATTTGTGGGCAAGTTAGACTATTTATGATTTGTTAACTCCATGTGGTTGACTTCTGAGGTAGCAGAAATTAAGCCGTTGATTGCTTTAAAAATTATGCAACTTAGAATTCTGAATGTCAACGCTATAAGGTAAAGAACACCAAAAAATGACAAAATTGTTTTAACTATTGAACTCCACCAGCCTGTGAGTCCTCAGTGTTTGAACAGTTCACTGAACCAATCCTCAGATTCTTGCTTCATTTGTCTGATCAAGCTTTTCATGTCTTGGATGTTGGGAGCCTTTGAGGTCAGGCTCATGCAACAAAGTCCTTCAAATTCCTGGCATTGGAGTGTCTGTGCCAGGGTCACCCAGATGTTCTGGTGTGGCTGAGGGACGATCCACACAGCTGTCAGACTGCTTAGAGAGAACAGGATGACAACTTGGATGGGGCTTATTGTGAGGTTGGGTGGGAGGTAGGTTTTTTCTAAAAAGCAAAACCAAACAATTTAAAGCATATTAAAAGTCAGGGTGTCTCCCAGAATGGAACCAGATCTCAGGAAGGTTTTCTCTCCTCCTTCTGGTGGCGTCTTCTTTTTGAAGCAACTGCTACTTGCTTCTCATCCCCTTCTGCTGGACCTGGGTTTTTGGGGATGTAAGGTTTTATCCCCTTTTAGGGTTATCCAACGTGGCCCTGAGGGGGTGGATATGCACACGTAACCATGCCCCCAGGTAACAAGTTCATAAGGGCCCTTGGTCTCCCAAATTTCTGGGTCCCTAATTAGGACAGGTGGACACTGGGACAACTTAAACTGATCACTGCTGTTAAAGTGACATACCACCAGAGGACTCATATTTTCAAATGAACCATTTAGAAAATTGATGGTAAACATGGCTTTGCAGAGCTTTTGTTGTGACAACATCCACACTGTTGAATTGCTCTGTCTAGCCAGGACTTGCTTGAGCATCTGATGGGCACACTCAAGCACACCTTGGCCTGTGGGGGAGTGGGGGATGCTCGTTTTATGTTCCACTCCCCACTGCTGCACAAATTCTAGGAATTCCTTAGATGTATTCACTGGGCCGTTATTGGTCTTGATTTCCTTAGGGATCCCCAGCACTGAAAAGGCACTAGGTGTTGTTTGCATGCACAGCCCTTTCTCCTGCGTGGGCAGAGGCATAAACCACACCTGCATATGTGGCAATGCTTCTATGTACATATTTGAGGCAACCAAAACTGGGAATGTGTGTTATGTCTGTCTGCCACACTTTGCAGCTCCCAAGGCCTCAGGGGTTAACCCCAACACCCAGTGATGGCATGATCTGGAGCTGGCAACTGGGACAGGTAGCCACAATGGCCCAGGCCTGACTCTGCGTTAGTTGGGACTGACGGGTCAGACCTGGCACATTCTGATGGTATTGCTGGTGACTCAGCTTCACCTTTTGAAAGATGTCTGGGAGGCGTGCCTTTTCAGCTGGGGCAGCAAGGGAGTCTGCTTTATGATTCCCTTCTGCGATTTCACCTAGCAAAACAGTATGTAGCCTCACATGTATCGCAGAGAACAGATGCTCTCTATGTGAAACTAAATAAATTAGTTTCGAGAGCAACCTGAAGAGATGCTCGTTCTCAATGTCTTTGAGAATTGCTCAGAAAATTGCTCCACCCTGGATACTATCCCCGCCAAGTAGGCTGAGTCGCTTAACAAATTAATTGGCTCCGAGAACTTCTCAAAGGCTCTCACGACTGCAGGCAGTTCAGCAACCTGGGGTGACCCCTCCACAAACGCATCATCAGCTGAGTCTGGGGATTTCTCCAAGTCATCACTGACTTGTGGGATGCCCTGGACGCATCAGTGAACACTGTGAGAGCTTTGAGTGGCCTAC